GGTTGGATCTGCATGCTCGCGATTCAGAATCAGGAATCCAACCGTTAACCCTCTCCCTTTCTTTTCTTCTTTTCCCTCTCCCGCGCTGCTGCCCAACCCCCCCCCATAATCTCAAAGTGACACTCCAAGCAAGTATCAGCCGTAGAGTCTGGAGCGTTCCTCAATCGTGCATGACTTTAAATCCGACCCTAATTTAGGGTCGGTTTGGGGGAATCCGTCCCTAAATATAGGGACGGTTTCAAAACCCGACCCTAAAACGAAACCCGACCCTAAATTAGGGACGGTTTTCAGAAACCGTCCCTATTTTTCAGAAAACGTCCCTATTTTTAGGGTCGGTTTCGAAACCCGACCCTAATAATGGTGCGTTTTCAATGTATTTACCACGCAGACCTGTTTCTATTTAGGGACGTTTTTCAAACCCGACCCAAAAACGAAACCCGACCCTAAATTAGGGACGGTTTTTCAGAAACCGTCCCTATTTTTCAGAAAACGTCCCTATTTTTAGGGTCGGTTTCGAAACCCGACCCTAAAGGGAATCCGACCCTAAATCCGACCCTATTTTAGGGTCGGTTTCATGCACGATTGAGGAACGCTCCTGTACAGTTGTAGAGTCTGTCACAGGGCGTGGTACTCACACTGTTTTAGCATGTGAGTATGGGTACTGAGTAGTATTCACAATTCCAAAGTCAAGTGAGTACGGGTACTGGGTAATACTCACAATTCCCAGGGTCAAGTGAGTACGGGTATCATGTGAGTACAGGTACTTTGTGGGTACTATAGAGTACTCACTGAGTACTCATAAATCAATTACTTAGGGAAATTATCTAGGTTTTTCTAGTTCTGGGCTGGGGGCTCATCAATCTTGTTGTAAAGGTCCACCATGGCATCAATATCACTGTCATAATCCTCCTCTTCACATCTGCTGGCAGTTAGCTTGAGGAGATCCTTGGTCCTATTCTTAGCCCATTCCTTTCTTGTATCATTGATGCATTGCTTGTAGTTCTGGATGAATGCACTGTTCTTGTAGCAAAGAAGGCGCATTTGGAATGTCATGTCAACCTTCTGTCCATTGCTGAGTTTTCCATCAAACCATGTACAAGAACTGAAAACTCTTTCTTGGAAGCCGTTGCTATCTGGCATTGCAAAGATGCGCACAGTGAGTACCAGTGAGTACTCAGCGAGTACTCACTGGTACTCACTTCGAAGTACTCACCGCAGTACTCACCGAAGACTCAAAAAGTACTCAAAATCCGGAGTCATGTGAGTACGGGTACTGAGTAATACTCACATTTTCTGAGGTCATGTGAGTATGGGTACGGAGTATACTCAGTACTCAGTACCCGTACTCACATCGAGTACACACAGCGTGTATTTCATGTGAGTCCCACAAGATGACAGACTCTGTCATCTCTTCCAGATTAGTTCATGTCTCTTCTACAAGCTGGCATGAGCACTACTAGGTAACAACCCAAATAATAGAAATAGTGATGGCCCTCCAGCCAGGAAGCCACAGCCAGTGAAGCAATCTAGCTAGACAGTTGGAACTGGGTGACTTCTTTCTCGTGCTTGCAGAGTACGTGTAGGAAGAAGAATATGAGGACAGGGAGAATTGAAAACAATGACACAGCAATCCACTTGGGCAATGATTGCGACAACATTATTTTCAATGATGTTGTAGTGGAGGCTGGTGGAGAGGAGGAAGCCTCATAAGGAGATCCTGAGGCCCAGAGTTTTGGGAGTAGGTTGTTATTACAGACCTTATACATTTATGCTGAAATCTAGATACTGTGTACATGTAAGAAACAATCTGAGGGTCTAAAATTGTGCAGCAGGGTATGAAAACTGCATTGAAATTATTAACCTCGGCAGTCTTGCTGCCAGAGCCCTCAACCCATTTAATTCTGTTTCCTGTTTACGGCGGTCCCTGCAGGTATAAGGGTAGGGTTAGAATAGCAATAAGCCAGCAAAAACTAAATAAGTATCCTTAGGTGCTGCTATTAAACCAGCTAAAGCTATATTTACATGTATCCTAGGGGTATCTGCTTCTAAAAGGAAACTCTGAAGCCAGCGAAAGCTATATAACTAGTATTCTATCTAGCTAGGGGAATCTGCTTCTAGCTTGCAATGGGAAACTGCTTCTAGCTAGCTAGGGGTATCTGCTTTTAGCTAGGGGTATCTGCTTCTAGCTAGCTACTACTAGGGGTGTCTGCTTCTGCCTAGCTACTAGGGGTGTCTGTTTCTGGCTAGCAAAGCACTAGTTAAGCACTAGCTAAGCACTAGAGGTATCTGCTTCTAGAGCTATAGCTAGCTAATAGGGGTACAGTATCTGCCTGCTAACACGCAATTTCGAACCTGTGAAGTCCGAAATCTCCAGTACTCTTTTTACACCATGCATGGTGTAGTGGATTGACTTGCCACGTAGTGAGCCACTGTAAGAAATGGCGTAGCTCGGACGTTTCCTATTCAACATGAGACTTCCACGTTGATCCATGTGATTGGTGCTGTTGCTAAAATATCAAAGACACGGTCTCGCCAACACAACAAGAGACAAGAGACAACAAGTACCAGCTCTCGGCAACAACAGAACAGAACAACAAAACAGAACAGAACAGAACAGAACAGAACACAACACAACACAACACAACACTGGCTTGTTAGAATAGATACTAGTACCAGCCAGATACCACTGTATAGCAATGATTCTCATGGCCCTCATCCATCTGAGTCTCAATCGACGACGAGTACTATCTTCTATTTCCTACCTCGTGCCTCATCAGATACGATCTTCTATTTCGTGCCTCATTATGGCTTCTAGAAAATATTCGTGCTTTGTACAGATCCAAAGACGTCTACCTCTTTCCACTCACTTGGTTCGAGTGGAAGGCAGGTTTATTCAACAGGCTCTCAGAGCAGCGTCCTCATTTGACATGCAATCAAGGCACTGAGTTCCCACCACAAGATCTTCCATCATACTATGCATTATGAGCGAATTGGAATTGAATATGGAAGGTGTGAAAATTGGGTGGAAGCTGATAGAAAGCTGGCTGATCAGACTTAAATGAAATCCAGAGCAACCTTAGAACTGAATACAACAACCAACCAACCAACCAGATCTCTAGATATTGCACTGGTGGCAAACCTGGTTGTTGCCTTTAAAACTGCCATTCCAATCCACTGTCACAAAATCAAGTGTGCCACCAATTCAGAATGCAAAGGCAATCAATTAAAACCCAAAGAAGATACCAGTGGCACAGATGTCAACCCACATCATAGCAACAATGCGTAAACTTGAGAAAAGCAGAGCTAAACAAAAACTAGGAAGCTACAGTTGATGACATCTAAACCTAAGACCTCCCTCTCTCTCTCTCTCTTCCTCTTTTCAACTTCCCCTCCCCGCGGGGAGGGTTTCTTTCCACTTCACTGAATAGAAATTTTCTGTTAGGAAAATTTCACTTCACTGAATAGAAATTTTCTGTTAGGAAAATCTGTTAGGAAAATTTTACTTCACTGAACAGAAAATTTCTATTCAGTGAAGTGGAAAGAAACCCTTGCCCCGTAGGGAGAGGAAGTTGAAAGAGAGAAAGAAGGAGAGAGAGAGGTTCTTAGGTTTAGATGTCATCAACTGTAGCTTCCTAGTTTTTGTTTAGCTCTGCTTTTCTCAAGTTTACGCATGTTGCTATGATGTGGGTTGACATCTGTGCCACTGGTATCTTCTTGGGGTTTTAATTGATTGCCTTGCATTCTGATTGGTGGACACTTGATTTTTACAGTGGATTGGAATGGCAGTTTTAAAGGCAACAACCAGTTTGCCACCAGTGCAATATTTAGAGATCTGGTTGGTTGGTTGTTGTATTCAGCTCTAACGTTGCTCTGGATTTCATTTAAGTCTGATCAGCCAGCTTTCTATCAGCTTCCACCCAATTTTCACACCTTCCATATTCAATTCCAATTCGCTCATAATGCATAGTATGATGGAAGATCTTGTGGTGGGAACTCAGTGCCTTGATTGTATGTCAAATGAGGACGCTGCTCTGAGAGCCTGTTGAATAAACCTGCCTTCCACTCGAACCAAGTGAGTGGAAAGAGGTAGACGTCTTTGGATCTGTACAAAGCACGAATATTTTCTAGAAGCCACAATGAGGCACGAAATAGAAGATCGTATCTGATGAGGCACGAGGTAGGAGATAGAAGATAGTACTCGTCGTCGATTGAGACTCAGATGGATGAGGGCCATGAGAATCATTGCTATACAGTGGTATCTGGCTGGTACTAGTATCTATTCTAACAAGCCAGTGTTGTGTTGTGTTGTGTTCTGTTCTGTTCTGTTTTGTTGTTGCCGAGAGCTGGTACTTGTTGTCTCTTGTCTCTTGTTGTGTTGGCGAGACCGTGTCTTTGATATTTTAGCAACAGCACCAATCAGATGGATCAACGTGGAAGTCTCATGTTGAATAGGAAACGTCCGAGCTACGCCATTTCTTACCGTGGCTCACTACGTGGCAAGTCAATCCACTACACCATGCATGGTGTAAACAGAGTATTGGAGATTTCGGACTTCACAGGTTCGAAATTGCGTGTTAGAGCTTTCTTATAAGAAGGTTTTGAGTTTACCATCTCATGACACAGAGAGGAACCCTGCCGTCGACAACTGTGACATACTAGTTTAAAGAGGGTTTCGGTACTTACACGTAGAGCTCAGGTAGGTCCTAGTACAAAAATGTTGGCTCACAACTGCATTGAAGAATGGGGTGTAAACGGTACTCACAAGACTTAACACATAGAGGGAATGAGAACCCAAAAAGTGAAGCAAATCGGACCAAAAACGGACTCTTTGATTATTAACTTACCGACTGATGGTTAAGAGATGGGTGAACATGATCAATAGAAATATGTTTGTGGAAGATATAACAAGTATAATCCTATGGTGTTGAGCCAATTTCTCAATGGAGTTAACAGAAGTTCTAAAACCATTCACTTTGTAGACTACTGTTTTACTATAGTGTAAATTTTCGATGGCTCAAAACCCACCGTAATCTAGTACTTTCAGAACTGTCTTGCTGCTTCCGTTTTTTGTCTTCCTGTAGCGCCGTAGCGCCGCTAGCTATTACAGACCAGTACCGCACAAGAGCGAGATCAGAGCATGAACATGGAAAGAGATGGAGCAGAGGCGGTCAGGGCCCGTGAAGATCACGCTGAAGATGAAGATCACGACGATGAGGCTCCAAGAAACAACGGAGCTGTGGCTGGAGCTGGAGCAGCCATTCCTGCTGGCATTATGAATCCTGAACTTTTGGAAGATGGAGATCAGATGATGGAAATCTCGGACCAAGAAAAACTGTGGGCCCGTGCCATAAAGGCAGCCATTGAAAGTTGCCCTGACCTTGAGAAATTATCAGATTTTGAATACTGCCAATTGGCCATCATTGATCAGGGTAATATGGAAGCTGCGGTTGACAGAGCGACGTCCTTACAGGGTTTTCGGCAGGAATATGATGTCAAGGACACTCTGGAAGATGCACTGACAGCGTTGCGTCAATTAGTCTCGGTGATGCCCAGTTTGTTCCTCTCCTTCACCTGCAACCATTCCTCTGGTGGATATGTCACTATTGCCGACATGGCAGCTTATGATCTACAGGCTTTGAAAACAGAAAAAGGTTGGAAGACACACATGTTAGGACATTTTTACCTGTTTGGGGCCATGTGCACGGACTTTCGCAGTATCCGAACTGGAATCAATTTTGTGGTGGAGTGCGATGGATTTTCTTGGACATCCAACATGGACTTTGTAATATCCAAGAACCTCTGCAGAGATTTTTACTCCATCTACCCTTATAGGGCCCAACAACTGAGCTACTTCCATACGAACCTCTTTCTCAACATGACAATCGCTGCCTGTCGTGCTGTTTTGCCAAAGTCAATTGCTTCCAAGTTTCAGGTAGGTTGCATCTTCCCTGGCGGACGCTTGGACCAGTTTTACTTGATCCCTGATCAACATACTGCGGCTGAAAGGACAATTCATCGCATGCAAGAGAGCATCCGAAGGCGATATGCAATGGTTGCTTCGTATAAGCTTTAGCTAGTGGGAGAAATTACTGGGCTTCCTAGTTCTATTTTTTATCGTTGACGCCAGCGAGCACCCGAACGATCGAACGCAGCTTTTTAGTCGACCAATCTCGAATTCAGTCTTGACTGAGATAACGTAGCCTGACCTTGGCAAGGGGGCTTCCTTCGATGGGTGGGTAAGGGGAGGGAGGGTAGTTGCTTACGTCCCAATACTAGCTAGGATTTGATTTGTGGGGCGGAGTTGTCAGATACCTCTATTCTGCCCTTTCCTTTTTCCAATTCCTTTCGGCGAACAGAACTATGCTAGCTCTCTACCGGTACGGTACCCTACCTGGTAGCTAAAGCAGATGTGGCGGTGGGCTTTGGCTAAAATTGGCTGAGAATCCGATGTCAATTTTTTCAAAAAACGATGCAATGCTTCCCACGCCCCAGTAGATCTAAGAACGGACCTTCCGCCCTCTTGCCAGGCACGGCACTGGCACTTGTGGTGTTTTAAAACCCAGTAATGCTTACGTTTCATTGGTTAAGTCTCAATGACGTGGCTTTTGACTGGAGATGAATGAGGAACCACTGATACTATTATTTTAAAATAGTAAATGCGGTCGCGGATGGGAAGAAGCAGCAGTATCATACACCGTAATCGCGAGGGGGTCATAATAATATTTCGACGAGAACGGTGCGGGAGCGGCAGCAGCATATCGGTACCCGCACGACCCGCACACCAACTACTATCTACTCGCTATCAAAGCATCAGCGACGGAAGAAGTGAGGAATGAACAAGCCAACAAGGGCAAGCGCTGCCTTGACATTCGATGGTACGATGGCAACGGCAGAGGCAAGCTCTATGTTGCTGAGCGCTCCCATGGCTCCTGCTGAAGAGGAGAAGAGAACCTACGAAGATGTTGGCTTCAAGGAGTGGGATTGCCAGGGTGGCACTCTGAAGCTTCACCCGGCTGGACTCATCTACCACGAACCCAGCCCAGGAAGTCGTATGCTCAAGGTCCGATGGCAGAAACTATGTCGTCCCATTGCCACTTCCGCGATGGCTTCCGACTTGCACTGCCTCAAGATGAAGAGCACTGATCCGAGCACCGTGTACGAATATTGCTTTACCGTCCACTCGGTCGACGCACTCGAGCGCCTGAGGCTCGATATCATTGCCTACCAAGAGAACCATTTTCACCATGGCTCACAGTCTCGTACGTCTGGCACACGCTCCACACATGACGACCCGCTCCTGGAGAATGTATTTTTTGGCATCAACTGCAAGAAGGAACTCGGGGGAAGATTGGTCCTGAGGGAACGGGAAATGCTCTTTGTCACATCGTACGAGAAAGAACTTTTGAGCATTCCCTGGCAATCCATCAAAAAGGTACAAATTAATAGTTTGGAGGCGAGGCCACTCGTCCGTATTGTAGACGGGGGAAAGAAAAGTTTTACCTTTGAAATGACGGACAAGTCAGATCTGGAGCGTCTGCGGGAGAACATCAAGAATCTGAGATTGGCTTCCGAGCCTCCCAAAAAGAAGGAAGAGGTTACGTACACGAATAGTCCCCAAAAGAAAGGGCTCCTCAGCCGTGCCGAAAGGGGCGGCCTCCGCGATAGTGATAATCTGAAAACTCCCATGATTTCTCAGCGGCATGGATCGGGGAGGGAGCTTGAAAAAAGCCGGGGGTTTGGTTCTTATCCGCTCCTTGTGGGGCCTGCGGCGGATCTGCGGGAAATGGAGTACGTTTCGGCGTTGCACCAGAGTTCAGAACCCATCCTTCGATCGGACGGTACCATTTCCTGTAAGTAGAACGAACTGTAAACACAGGTGCATTGATGTGAGGCTTGCTTGGACCCACACGAGTCTAACTACTAACCTGCTTGCTCCTTCAATACACAAACAGCCAAGGACATTATTCCATATCTAATGTCTAGGTATGGAATCCAAATCACTAACGAACAGGCCTTGGACATTGCGTCAAATATCTGCGGGGCCAAGTTTCGAAATTTGGTTAGTGAGGAAGACGATGAAGACGCAGAAGAGCGTCGAAAAGTGGACGAAGAGTTGCGCGAGGTCATCGGTTTTGGATGTTGTGGGTGGGGCGCCAAAAAGGATACCGAGAACGAGGAAAACAACGGGGGTGGGGCAGAGGAAGACGAAGCGGAAGATGAGGAGATCTTGTACTTTGATCTCGTGCAACTGGCGTCTTTGTTGTTGATTCCAGAGCTTTTGCAGCTGGGCGACATGCTGAAGAATCAGAAAGTGGAAATGGATTTTAAAAGATCCCTCTACCAATTGAGGCGCTCCGTCGCGTTCGTTGCGGAGGACAAGCTCAAGCAGCTAGGTCAAGCAAAACTTTCCCCCAATTGCGACAGAGTTTTACTAGTCGTCATTGAGAGTCTCATTGAAGTGTTGGACGAAGAGACACAGGAGGAAATCCGAAATGGACGGCCACTGGATATCAGCATCCTTCAAATTATCCTTCGTTCTTTCGGCGACTTGGACGGAGCGGACGATGTCGGGCTCATCAGGGACATGTTGGTACGTGATAGTGCGAGGTGTAGGCGACAATCAACTTTGCTTCCCTCCGGCAACCCCCTATCTAAACCTTCTGACCTGACTTGTTTCCCGAATCTCTACAGAACACGTTGTGCGTCGATGGCGGCCCCCCCTTACTGACGCCAAAGAACTTCATCGCTGCGCTAACTAAGGATGTTGAGACATACTACGGTGCAAAAGGAAGTCGACCAAAGCCCGACCGGAGAACCTCGACCTTCTTCGACATAATTGGCTTCAACTGGGACAATCTGTCATCTGACGAACGGGCAAGGGCATTGGATCCAAGCCAACCCAGCTCCTTAAACATGGTCAATACGTCAATCTTCATTGACTACGCTTCCGATGTGTACAGGTCAAGACTTCAGAATACTGCAGCCTGGTGCATGTTCTTTTTCTTCAGTAAGTGATTTCCTCAAATGCAATTGAAGTTACGGAGCTTTCGACCATCGTCGTCTAACCAAGATCGATTTAGTCCTACTGGTGTGGAATGAAACTGTGTACAGGATCAACTTCTGGGCTCACGGCGTTATTGGCAAAATCTCCCATACCCAGTACATCGGGACTAAGACAAACAGTCACGGCGACATGTTTGAAGCCATCGTCGTATCACCAGGATCTGGAGACGACAATGATTTCTGGGCGTTTGGTGCGTACTTCTATCCTTTTGCATTTGTAATATGAAAAGTGAATGCTAACCCACTGCCCCTGGCTACCCCATTACCACTATGCAGTTTTTTCCGTCGTCAGTTGGATGCTTCAAGCGCTTGCATGCGGGTACGTACTAGGAGAAGTTTGGGACTCATACTGATGTTGACTCTAGCGATATCTCAAAACGGACTCTTCGTTCGACCGCTGTCTCAACAGGTGTTTCGGTAAGGTTTCATCAGGTACCCGCGGTCTGCTTGCCCAATTTTCACAGACTAACATCATTGTGCTGGGGGCTTTCGTTACGGCTCGAAGGATTTATCATTGTCCTCACCACGAGTGCGGGCAACATCAATGGACGGATCAAGCGGTGGCTTCTTCTCTCGATCGTTTCATGTGGTCTTCTGGCTGTGGTGGGAAGCCTTTGCCTTGCTGATTTAAAACATCTCAACGCCAACGCAACATTCAAGGCAGAGGTCAATCCAAACTATTGCATCACAATCACAAGTGATAGTTTCGCGGAGAGCACTGCTGATGCACGTAGGTTGTCGGGAATTGATCCAACATGTGCAAGAATTGGGGCTGACCTCATATCCACAATGATGACTCGCAGTGATATGATGACGGATTTGCAAACCCTTCCAGTCATTGGCGACATAGTCACAGAGCTTTCCAATATGATGGGAATCGGCGCGAAGAAAATCCAAGAAATTACAGTTATGCAATTGCTGCAGTGTTCTCAATCCCTGAGTCAGGTCAACTTGGGTGAAACTATGCAGTTGCTCTTCGACAATGCACCATCTATTATCGGCCAGACCACCGATGCTGCCAGGAGTGCTGCAAGCGCTGCAGTGGATACCTTTGTAAATGGAACAGTCGCTGCTGCCAATGACTTTGTGGACGAAGCCGTCAACCAAAACATTGCTGCCATTGAAGAATTCGTGGATACTGTTGTCGGCAATGCTGCGGGTCCCTTTGCGGACGAAACTATTGCAGCTGGGGAAGCATTGATAGACAAAAGTAAAAAACAAACTCTGGCAGCTGGGCAAGACTTTGTGAATGCCGTTGTCAACCAAGCTGCTGAGGTGATTGGAGATGCTGTCAGTGAAGTTGTTGTTGCAGCCGGGAACTCGCTTACCGACCTAACAGCCTCACCCGGTGCTTCCCTAGGAGGCAGCTCTTCACCCGGTGCTTCCCCAGAAGGCAGCTCTTCGCTCAGTGCACCGTCAAGCTTCAGCTTGTCTGCAGCCCCCAGCTCGCAACCCAGCTCGCAACCCAGTTCGCCGCCCAGTGTACAGCCCAGCTCTTCACCAACTGCCACCCACCAGTCTGCATCACCCAGTTCAACACCCAGCTCATCACCTAGTTCATCACCCAGTACCACTCCAAGCGTTGCACCGTCTGGTGCCCCCAGTGCACAACCGAGCTCTTCACCCAGCGTGCCTCCCAGTTCAGTACCAAGCGCCAGTCCCAGCTCTTCACCTAGCTCCAATCCATCAGGATCACCGAGTGTTGGTCCCAGTGCTGGTCCCAGTGCAGCCCCTAGCACAACCCCAAGTGTCACTCCCAGTGAGTCTCCGAGCGAGTCCCCCAGCTCTCAACCTTCCAATGGGACTCCGCCGTCTACAAACAATAGCGGTCGAGTGACTCGACCGCCCGCAAACAATGGAGCAAGAGGCTTGGCACAAGGTTCCATGATGCTGGAATCCAACAACTATTCCAGCACCAGCGCAGCAGGCGTTGCACTGTTAAACGACACTCTAAACAATCCCTGGCTCGGCTCTACCATGCAAGACGACTATAAAAGTCTCCTGCCCACTCGGAACCTCCAATCAGCAAATGCGACCAATGGGAATGTGGCGCCGCAAGGTTCAGGTCAGAATGCGACCCAAAATTCAGGCCAAAACGCCACGACTAGTTCTGGACAGAATATGACCCAAGGTTCAAGTCAAAATGCCACGCCAAGTTCGTCTGAGGGCGCGACGTCATCCATAGCCACAGTGGCGGCGAAGATTATGAAGCCGTTGGTTGGTGTCCCCCTTTGTGTGCGGAAGCACCAAATTGAAGACCTGCTCACAGCATTACTGAACCTTGATGGCAATGTTACACTGTTTGGTATCACAATGGATGGAATCAGAGCCTTGGACTACGTTGAAGTCGTTCTTGAAGAAGCCAAGGTGATCTCTGTCGATCGGACTTCTCCCGTGTACGGTATCTGGCTGTATTACATGTCGACCTCGCTGATCATTGCAAGTCTGATAGGAATGGTTTTGAATGTAAAAGTGTTCTTTATGAAAAGAGACAACATATATCGCAGTCGTGACTACAAGATCAAATGCGCCGCCTCCCACAAAGTTGCTAACCTGGTGGAAAACGCCTTGAGCATGCACGTAGTACAAGGGGGTAGTACGAAGGGGCAAACCATGGTATGTCTTCGCTTTCTGCATCGCATGTGTGTCTGTGTGTGCTGTCGTTACTTCGCACTATTAATAATCCACAATTTCTTGCCTGCTTTCCAGCGAAACTTCTTTCGTTTTGGAGAGCAAGTTGCATCTGTTGGCGGGTTTAAGTGGAATTCACAAGAAGTTTGGTCGCAGAAAATTATTTGGAAGCAAGGCGTCTGGTATTCAGGGAGGCTTGCGATTGGGCAAGCGATGCAAGTAGTCATTACGATAGCTGGGATGACGTATGGTGCGCGGATGCTCAAGGAACTACACGATGGGAATGGAGTGCCAGAATTGGGAATCGCCAATATGCTTTTGAAGTCCGGGGCAACGAATATTGATTCGTGAGCACCTCTTGTTTGATATTTACTGTTGCATGCCGTCGGTGCAAACTGACCACCTTGCCATTCCTCATGTTTGCAACATAAATTGACAGGGCTATTAGGGGTAAGATTCGGGGGGCAGATCCGCGAACGCATGGATGTGTGCTGGATAGTTTCGTTTCTAACGTTTTTGAGTCTTCAGTTGCTGGAACTGTCGGAATGTTTGTTGGATTTCTCGCGGCGGTATATTGCATCTCAAGCTACCTGCCATCTTACACAAAAACTGTACTGTATCTAAGAAGTGGAATGTTGCCAAGTCTCCACAATCCTCAATTCTTCGAATACAGGTCCCGCGCGGACGACGTTGTCCAAAATATCGGTAGGTAAATCGGTGGTTGGTCTTCCGTGATCCTGGTCATACTGTAGCGAACCTCACTGATCATGTCGTCACATCGTCGCACGCAGGAAACATGGTTTTCGCCTTAATGGGAGCTTCCATGATGACTGCACTCACGGCCTTCTTCGTGCTTTTCATCTGCATCTTTGATTGGACGCGGGAGTTTGTCGTGAAATCCGTCGCCACTGTCATTGGAATTGTAAGATCACCGATTCTCGCAGCGATACTGTTGCATTGAAGCGGGCTGCTAACAGTTTTCACGCGTTCACTTTGTCAGGGCTGCACCATCGGTATCAAGACTGTCGGACAGAAGTTGCTACGGGAACGTAACTTCAGTGCCTTCTATAGAAATGAGCCACGTCGAGCAAACTACTTTAACCTGTTTTTCGAGGTAAGATGGCACGGAAGTGGTATCAGCACGTATCAAGCACGCAGGAAGCAAACTTATCCACTTCTTTTTTCAGGCATGGTACATCGGGACTGGTGTTTTGATGGTGATCTCTCGATTGGTCATGTTCGTTGTGGCCGGAACTTTCTTCATTGGAAGAATTGATGTGGATTTCTTCAACGCCGATATTCGTGTGTTTGGAGCCAACCTTGATGCGGCACCTGTGGCGTTTCGCCGTGACATTTTGGCCCACGAAGCTCACCTTCACCCCTACATCGAACGCTTGGGTAGCATGTACCTCGCAAGATTACGCCATGGTGAAAGTTTTGGTAGCAAGGCAGGAACGGCCTGGAGGTGCTTGTTTGTGACGGGGCTCAGCCCATGGAGTGTCAAACACCGTGTGAACTCCAGGGAAGACAATGGATAGGGGGGTTATGTCTCAAGAGACCTGGTTGTTGCCATGGAAGCGATGGGTGCCTTCGATCATGGTTCGACGAAGGCTGAAAGCCGCCAAAACGCCCATCTTTGCCGTGATTTCGGTCTGTGGCTGTGGTGTCCGCCTTGCCTCCACCCTTTCGGTTACAGCTCTTAGCACTAGGTTGACATTGCTTGAGACGTGTAGGACACCATGTGGCGATGGCCCCCAGCGTCTTCTCTAATGCCTGTGTAAGCGCAGCCAAACCGGTGTGGTCACATCGGCGAGCCAAGCACAGGTTTTCAAAGGACTGGTCGATCTTGCGTTTCCTCAATCTTTACCCGAGAAGGAAAGTCTAGGACAGAGTCTCCTGCTTTCTTTGGGCTGTACTGTATAGTCGACGAAAGAAAGAAAATTGATGCCCTACCACATATATTTTTGTCATGAAACCTTGTTGGTTGGTTTGCCCGAAAGTCGTTGTAGTAGAATGATGTGTAACCAGGACGGAAGTAGCCAAACGATCACTTCCCAAGACTATCAGAAGTTAACAGTAACCGTGACCGAGGCGCAGATTTATGCTGAAACCATCGCCCTCGCAGTTAGACTCACACTGAAAAGATCGCAAGATTGCCCAAATTGGGTGGGGACATCATGTCCGTCAAAGAATAAATCGGAATTTAGAGATATTGAGAGCCCACTGGGTCCTACTTCGCTTTGCTGTCCGGTCCCATGGCTTTGCATCTAGCTAATATCGAAGCAGCGCTCCTCGCCTCGCCTCGTCGAGTGGAAAAGGATAGGTAGACTACCGTAGCCATCGAAGTACTAATAGCGATTCATGATGCGGGCTCGTATTGTTGACAGGTCGGAACCGGTACCGGCGGTACAGGTACATACTGTAGTATTTTCGAAGATCAATTCTTTTACCACAGACCATGTTATGACTGGGTAGCTGCAAGATACTTGTATGGGGTAAACGTTTCCGAACCCATGCAAAATCCCTTTGCTACCGGTATTTGGCCACCATCCGTACCACTACAATTAGCTTACCGGATACCCCTGATTTGGCTTCAATCGTGCAGTAGCGCGACCACAGTGGTCTCGAGGCAAGATACCCTCTTCTAACTAAAAGTCAGTGTCGCCGCCTTCTTCAAGACAGAAGAGAACCAGCAACATAACATTGTGGTACCGGTACGGTACGAACCCTTGGCCGGTTACGCTGACAGCCCCACCAAAAGAGCGACGACAGCTCCCTTTAGACATTCGACGAAAAACTGGTGGGAAGAAACCAACTGCTGCATGTACCCACAACCCAGACCGGACCGACAATAGCAGTCAATGCAACACGTAGGTCCGCTCACCCACCTCACTCTCGCATGAATCTAGTTTGTCTTGTCAACTCCGAGGACAACTACTAGTAACTGAAACCGACCATAGCCTCCTCTTCTCACAATTTCACAAGAAGAACACTGAATCAGTCCAGAAGATCATTGATTGCCCTCAACACGCCAACAAACAAAGGTACCTTCTTCAGAACATAAACCTTTTGAATTGACTCCAACTCTGACTGTCAATTCATTCTATTAAAAAACAATGATGAGAGTTTGGTTGGCACTTGGAGTGGCTACCTCTGCTTCCCTGGTGAGCTGTGCTCTTGGGACAACTGCTCAAATTGTGATTAATGAGATTGCCGACAAGGGGACATTGTCAGCCTGCAATGGCGAAGACTGGGTGGAACTATACAACTATGGTGACACAGACATCCATTTGGGTACAGAGGGGTACATATTGCACGATGACAACGGCAAGGACCATGAAAAAGCCTTTCATTTCCCTGTCACTGCCGATGCCTTGCTGGCTGCCCAATCCTACATGCTACTCTGTCACAAACAAAAAATACCAGCGGCGACCCTGTCCATGGGAAAACAACCACCACAAACTCTGGAAGCTGCTACTACTAGTAGTAGTAGCAGTGCCGAACGGCTCCTTCCAGATCCCATGTCTCCCCAATTTGGGCTCTCGGGAGATGATACAGTCACTCTGATGCGCGCCAAGTACAGTGCCAATTCATCCGAAGTGTCCACCTCCCGCATGTCGGCCACTTTTGAAGTTATTGACACGGTAGAGCTACCCAACACGGACGATGCCTTTGATATCACATATGCTCGAGACACTGAAACGGGCCGTTTCAACTACACATCCACACCCACCCCGGGGACTGCCAATCTCATGACACGCATCCCCACACCGGAAGAACAAATAGTGGCCCATAAACAAGCCTTGCGAGAGCAGGAAGCCATGGGACGACAATTCTTCAACATGGACGAACGCGGATACCCCGTGCCAGATCCCATGGACACGGTCCTCAACTTGACCATTACCATGTCCGATACCGATTACAGATACATGATGGAGAATCAAACCTTTGAGCAATACCGACCCTTTCAAAGCGGACAACTCACCACCACGGATGGACGTGTCTTGCTCTCCTTGGACAATCCTGGGCGCGTCCGCCCCAAGGGACAAAGTGGTTTGTTTGTGGCGACCTGTCTCGATACACCGTCCATTCCCTTTCAAATCGACATGCATCACACCAACAAGAGTCAAACCCTGTTTGGTGTGGAACGAGTCCTATTGAGGCATCATGCCGAAGACTACTCGTTTAGTCGGGAGTGGGCGTATTATCGCATGTTGGCACGGTTTGGAATGCCCTATCTGAGATCGAGAAAGGTCAACTTTTACATTCAAACACCTGCCAAAACCGTGGCGCATGGGTTCTACACATTGATGGAAGCACCGGAACACGAATATGTCTTTGCACGAAATTTTCCAGACTACAATCCCGAGGAGTATGGTTTGTACAAGTTCAAAAGTCTGGCCAAGGGATGTGGGGATTACACCCAAGAAGAGTTGAAACAGGCCGAACAACGTCTTCAAACGGATGTCAGTACACCGCCGTACGCTTGGGAACGAGGAGAACACAAAAAAAAGGTCGAAGTCAAGAACCCCTTCATGGTCGGATACTGCCGCGATCAGTTTGTATCAGACTTTATCGACAATATTGAACCAGATATTGTGCTGGCCTACTTGAGACATGATCAGGACTGTAGTGAAATGCTCACCGAGGAGGGACTGATTGAGCGAGACTTGGGAACCAAAGACTTTGACAAGGACATGAAACGATTCATTGACAACCATCTGGGTCCCAACAAGTGTGATGCAGAATGTGCCAATTCCAATTTGAAGGAGGTGGTGGATACGGAGAATTGGCTGAAAATGTTCGCTTTCTATGCCACGGCATTAAGCTTGGATTCGCCCATATCTTTTCACAACAATTACTACCTGGCTCAATCGGGAGACAATGCCGGCTGGAAGATTGTGCCATACGATCTGAACGCGAGACAAGCCGTCGGATGCAACAATGACATTTGTAATGGAAGATTGGTGCATTGGAGCGTTGCCCGACCGACTTGTGAATCTTTGGAAAGCAATCAGTTGGTGGGTCCACTCTTGACCGATCCGGATCTTCATGCCGAGTACATGGGTTATGTGCGAGAATTTGTGGATACCATCTACGGCAATGAGACCACCTGGAAGGAGATTAGCACGCACATTGCAGAGATTAGTGACTACGCCAAAAATGACTTTTGGAGTGCCTTTGGGATCTTTCACGATGAGGAAATAAATCCACCGGCTGAAGATTGGAACACGGGGCAGTACCCTCTTTTGGCTGTCATGAAGGCCCGCACGGCAGATCTTCGAGCACAGCTGGATGCCGCGGAGGCAGAGACTCTTGCCAGGGCACCCCATGTCGGCGTCGTTGGTGGAAACGAGCCATGGGAAACCTGTGCCGACTGGCGACTGGAGCAACCGAACACGACACGATGTGAAATGGATTGCCAGTACGAGGGATGCCACATGCCCGGTTGGACAGTCGAGAGCTTTTGCGATGAAGGGACAGGTGTTTGCTATCACGGGGATGCTGATCCAATGTGCCATGGCGTACCGGAGGGAGAACGGTATCCAGGCATGCAAGATGGCGAGGATGGCAAACCAACCTACTGTCGTATGGCCAAGGGAGTACCCGTCAAGGCGTCCGAGTGCCCAGCAGGTAAGTCGAAGAATTAAATTGTTTGCGACCCGGCCATAGCTACGGATGACAGCATACTCACACGTCGCTTTCCTGCATCTTGCTTCCAGTGGGAGAGTTCACACCCGCCACAGTTCAAACCACGAGTGATGCTGTACAAAGAGGAATGGTATTCGCTTTTGCGGTTGTACTAGTCATAGCAGGTTTTGTACAGCAGTTATGATGATCAACTGGACTTGATTAGCTTTTTTATATTGTGGATTTATGAATACATCACATCAAGTCCGCTAAATCACTTTTCACCAGAGATTGTCGCTACTCGCCAAGCACACGATACGGAACAATGAAAAAACTATAGCACAACATAGAAAATATGATGAGATTGTACTCGGAACTCACACAAGTCAGCACACAGCGACGACAACCCGACTGTGTGACGACTTGGAGATCCGACGAGGGAGCGCGGTCGGTACGGATGCAGATTGCGTTTCGTTGTCAACCCTCCGTAAATGTTGGTTCTAGCTGCAGCTCGATCCCATCATTTGTTGCATAGCGGTTCTGTGGGATGTAGTCAAAGTCCAAGTCCAGCCCCGAAGAGTCGGTCAACGAAGAAGTTGATTCGTAGTCAAAAGAATCCGACATATCGTCTTCCTCCTCTCCTTCTGTCGTCTCGTCCCTTTGGCAGGTCACCACTTCGTCATGTCGTTGTCGTCTTTGACTACTAGCAATGATTCGGATCTTACCATTTTCGGTTTCAGTTTCGCGATGGGGAACTGCATCATCTCGTTCCTGATCTGCGTCGGCACTCTGATGAGTCCCCTCCACCACGGGGATCACGGCATCATCTCGTTCCTGATCTTCCTCCTGAGCACTTTGACGAGTCGTATTCACAGCGGGTACCTCCCCCTTTCCATTTTCACATTGTCGAGGGGCACCGAGCAGTGGATCAACGAGTTCCTCGCTTTGCCGGGGACTATCACGAGTCTTCTTTATGCCCACTGGTACTACATGGTTCTTCACTGTACCAGTACTCGTGGTCGTCTTTCCCGGCTGCGGGGATCCGAACTTCCTGATCTGTGGCTGTGACTCCTGCTGCGGCTCAGAAGCAACGGCACTATCGCTCATCACTGTTGTAGCAGCCGTAGCGTGGCTAGTGGGAGAATCCGGACCTGGCATGTAGTCCGGAACAGCAGACTTGGCGTAGCTCTGCATCATCATGGATGCAAACTTCTTCCGTTCTTTCCTCGTATGTGTTGACACTCTTCTAGCCTCTTCCTCTTTCTTCTTCTCTTGCTTCACAAGGAGCTTGGTTTGTTCTTGTTTCAAGACTTCCAGCGCGAACTTTTCACGGACAAGTTCCATATCGGCAGCCGACACAGACGGTGCAACGCTGTTTGCTGATGACGGCGGCTGTTGTCGTGGTGGTTTCTCCTTGTGCTTCTGTTGCTTTCTTAAAAGGGGGCTACTCTCCTTCCCATGGGCATTAGTAGCTTTTCCTGCTGGGTTTTCTCGCATTTTCTTCCCCATTACCTTCTTGACCTTGGCCTCTCCTCCACCATTCTTAACGTACTTTTCAATGATCTTTCTCATTGTTTCGTCACCTTTCCAACTGCGTACCCTAGGAAATCGGGTACTATTATTGTTGGTCGTCGATCTCTGTCTCGTTAGGCTCTGTCTCTTCTTCATCTTGCCAGTGTTGTTGGAGGGATCCATAGCCATCATGTAGAACATGGCGATGCTCTTTTGCAACCAACCTTTCGCTTTTGTGTGCCGGTCCTTCGCTATAAACCGTAACGCTTTTTGGAACTGTTCCAGACGTTTTGTGCGTTGCAAACAAGGTAATTAGCCACTTGGATCCGTTCTGCCGCGCCCCGTCACAATTGCAAGAAATGTGCGACTGTCACAAAGTTTGTAGTGAGGGGACAACGTGCCTCCACCCAACGCTGTGGGAGAGAAGTGCGCTGTTGGAGTGCGCCGAGATGTTGTGGCAAGAACGGTACAGGAATGTTCACTGAGCCTTTGGCACTACCGTACTGTGGATGGTATGGTACTGCCAGCCGAATTTGATCTGTATGTCATTGCTCGTTGCATGGGCTTCCGTACCGGTATACCAGGAATACGACTGTACCGTACGGTACCGGTACGGTACTGGTACATGTACCCCTTAGTCTACAACACGACTTGGAAACGTAGACTAGGTGAGGTAAATAATATAAGGTTAAACGTATAGTTACTTCAAGTACTTAATTAAAGTAGCACGTCACCACGTCTAACTGCATGGCTACAAAAACTGTCTTGAAGCAAATCCAAACAGCTCGTGAAGGATCGAGGCGACTGATGTTTCACACCGTAGCAATTCCTCGCTCCTTTTATTAACTAAAACCTACCTACTCACACTCTATTTTAACAAACTATTTACTTTTATTTATTTGTGCGCGACAATGATGTACCGCTGCTTGTTGTTGGTGAGTAATCTGTTTCTATTTTGGAGCGGTAGCTTGCTTGTTCATGACAGTCAAAATCGGTGCTCTTTGAAACTCGTAGGATTTGCGCATGCAGTAGTCCAAGGAGCTGATCTCCCTGTACGACGCTCTCGAGAACTCGTAGGCCCTATATTCGAAACCGTCGCCTGGAAGTCTTTTCAGGCCGTGTGCCAGGACAAGCTCTATACCATTGCAATGTACGCCGACACACACATCTATCATCTGATTACTCCCACTGCAGATGATGATGACAAGGACACTGCTGGTTTCTGCAACGAAAAGCTTGTGCTCCATGATGGTGGGGAAATGGGAAGAACCATCATTGTGGAAGAAGCTGGATATCAGTCTGACAGAGACCAGGATGACGTCTTCAACTTTCAAGGATCCTTCTCACTGAAAGCGATCTTGCAAGCATTCCACGCGGGCAACACCATCATGCAAGATGGTCCCCAAGATAGCAGTGAGAAAAACTACATGTATGACATTCTCTACAACAACTGTGCTACCTTCATTCTGAGTTTCATGGATGCGTTGGGTTTGGAGCCTGATCAACCCGTTGCTCGTTACATTGCTGGAAGGTTGGCGCAGAATGGAGGACACACCATTCAAATGTTGTACGACAGCCAGGAATTTCAGGCTCTGTTGCCTCCTGACATGACTACGACCTTGAATAATCAGGACATGCAAAACAAGGATGACGAGAGGGAGCTATTGCAGCTTCTGGTGGACTACTACATTCAGAATCGAGTCAAGGTGCAACCAAGCGTTCTGGAATCTGAAGAGGCAAAAAGTACCCCCGACACTAATATTGAAGCATCTGCAGGAGGACACATCACCTACCCCCGGAGTCTTCGCCGTTACTTACAGGCTGCCAGTGAGGCTCAAGACAGTGCAACCTGCTCCCTTTGCTATGGAGGAGCCAGCCCAAATAATCGAAATGGCACTGCACTGTCAGCATGGGTCGATGGCGTTGGGTACACTTCCTGCGAGGATGCCGAAACACTTGCCAAGGACTTTCTCGACGGATCCACCAGCTGTACCATCAGCCAAATCTCAGGAGTAGCACACTGTGGTTGCCCCGACCTACCACCCATCAACCCTGATATTACGTGCAACTTTTGCGGAAACGATCAACCGAGCTACGACATTGATTTTCACAAGAAAATGCCACAGTTCCTCGATCCCGAAAGCGATAGTGAGCAGTTCCTCTGTTTCGACACGATCATTGCAGCACAGAACTACCCGTCCAGCAAAAACTGTGAGGACCTTCTCTCGGCTGGAAGTAAGTACTGGTGTGGATGCCCCTGCCGCAAAACCCCTGCCACATGCACCTGTGTTTGGATGGAGCCCCAATCCCTGATCCTTCCTTGGAGGTATTGCCAGGTGGTGGAACCTGTCAGGATGTAATTGACCTGATGGAAAATGGATACTCGGACAACTGCGGAGCCATGCAAGCCACAACGGGTGTTTACTGCGGATGTGAGGCCAATATAAAGCAGCCATTGGTGATGTTGGGACCTACGATCTCAACTTTCGCGATACCCCGTGCCGCATCTGCCCCAACGGGGCTGCTTGCGTGCCAGACACAGCTCAGTCATCGTGTTGAACTATCGGAACAATGGCGTGCAACGAACACTGGATACTTCGTGTGGAAAGATCGAGTTCTTTGCGAATGCCTATGACCTGTGCGACGAACCCAACACATTTAGCCATGCTCCTTTCTGTGGCTGCTTTGTGGAGGATGAAGGTCCTGATTGCCATCTCTGTTGGGGAAATGCAACTGTCAATGAAACTGATGCTCTCTTCCCCGATCTGCCTGCTACATTTGCCGAAACTTGTGAGAGCGTACAAGCCAGTCTTCCCGTCTTCCCCAACTTGCACCATGGAACACCCCGTTGTACACAGTTGCAGGAACTCGGTTTCTTTGCTTGTGGGTGCCCCCAGGCGCCTCCGGAACGGGCGAATACCTTTCAATGCCCCTTGCCTTGCTCGTACGACCAGATTGACCCGTTCAAGTTGGATTTTTCGTTCCAGCCCGAATTGAAGACATGCGGAGATATTGTGGCATCTGCCAAGCACGCCAAGTCTCAAGAGGAATGTGACGAGTTCTCCAAGAGAATCCAGTTCTGTTGCAAGGGGACACCCTACACAAATGGTTGCAGCATCTGTGACGGAGGTGCGGACCCACAAGTGCAAGGTTATGACTCGGACGATTCACCAGTCACATGCCAAGACTATCAATCCTTCCTACCTCAGCTTGTGCTTTCGGACGACTCGAAGGAATGCACTCGCTGGCAAGACTTTGGGTACTTTTCCTGTGGTTGCCCCAGCCAGCCTGCCCCTTATCCCCATCAGACCGATTGCCTCGTCCTGCCAGAGTCTTGCTCCCCCTTTGATATGGACCACTACTGCAAGGAAACATTGAGCATCATTGGGCGTGTAGCGAATGCATCAGAGTGTCTGTATGTCCAGCAGTTGTTTGATCTCTTGTGTTGTGGAGACTTAGAGGCGCGGGAAATTGTTGTTCCCAGTAATAACGACAGTGGCATCATTGTGACAGTCACGGTGGAAATTGTCTTTGATGAATTTCCGTCCGAGGTTGCATGGTCCATTCTGGACATGGAGGGTGAGCGTCTCGCGGCTTCTCCCGTGTTTGTCACGCCTGACGACTACCAGGTCGATTTCGATCTTGCTCCCGGTGATTACGTCTTTGTCATTTTGGATGCAGTGGGTGACGGGATTCTTGGAGGGTCATTCCTGCTTCGTGCTGGTGATCAGGTGTTGGTGGAAAATGTGTCCTACGAGTACTACCGAGCCATCAATTTCACTGTGTCGGCCGGAGCCAGTGACACTGTTGGACAAGCCAATGACCCTGCTCCTAATACGACATCAGGGACCCAGGAAGACAAATCAAAGAGCCCTGCAGTTGCCCTTACTGGGGGGCAGTTGATCATGGCAATAGTGACGACAGTTTCTGTGATCTGGATCAAATATTGAAGGTGGATGTAGTTGGCCGCATGAAAGAGAGACTGCCAATGTAGTGTGGAAGTCAAGGAGAAGATATATAATAGAGTTATCTCACAGTATGTCCAAATGAGGCTTTCTAAGAGCATCATCAACGGTGGCCGCAACTATAGCCGCAAAAGATGATACTCACAAAAACCCTGAATTTGCCGCTATCACCATCATCGTACACAAAGCTCGGCTGCTCGGACGAGCCGACGAGCTCATCGGCATTGTTGAGAAACGCTACCTGGGACTCGACATCAACTCCCGTACCAAAAGATTCAGGCTGGCGAAGCCAAGGATCCGCACTCCACAGGAAACAGTTATTATGTCAGAGTGATGAATCGAATCCGAGTTGCCCCGACGTCAAACATTCTTGCGCACAGTATTGAGTTCTCACGGCTGTTAGACGCATATCTGGCTATCAAGCAGATACTAAACGTTAAAGAAGTTTTGCCTGGCGTGTTTACTCACACGAAAATAAAAATTATTGCTGCCAGAAAGAGCGGAATACTTAAAATTTGAGCCCTGCTACAGGGCGGCGATTTTTGACGACGGATCTTCACTCTCTGTCGCCTCACTCTCCGCCTCGCTTGATGGGCAAGGTTCCATTGTACACGCCTGCCTCTATTGGATGATAGAAATGTTGACTGTAGTCCTTCATCTCTGAGAACGCATTTCAATAACGTCTAAAGCCCTGATACCTTTCCAATTCTCCTTCCGCAAGTTAGTAGTGCTTGTTGTCAAACAAACCATGTTTCTCCAGCATGGGCATAATATCATTCGCACTGGACGCTTTGTAGTGGCCGTGCAAGAGGAATCCCATGTCATAACCGGCATCTTGCGATGGACGATGCTACGATGCTCTGTGGCGACCCAATTCTTGGCATAGCGATTGCCGTCCTTCCAGATGATGGAGGCGATTGACCAAGGAAAGGCATCGGCCTGTCCCCCGGGCTGTCCAGCCGATGCCCCAACATCATTACCTGCTTATCTTCCTGTTGTAGCGTTGTAGCAGGGGAGAACGCTCTCAGTTGTGGCCATTAAAATGCCTGACCGAGCCGAATTTGATTTCATTGTTCGTTGTATGGGCTTCCGTACTGGTACGGTACTGGCCCCCGTAGCCAAAGCTTGCTTGATGTTCTTATAGAGGGGAAATCTGGAGAAACTCTCGCAATGCGGAAAAGCAAACTGGAAAACATCACCGTCACAATCTAGATCTATCGGAAGACAGCTTTGGAAACGTAGATGAGGTAAAGATTGGGTTAAAGGTATAGATTACTCAAGATACGTAAATGCAAAGTTTATTTTACCACGTCTACCTGAATATGAAAACTGTCTTACAGCAAATCAAATTTCCAAACAGCCCGTGAAGGAGACTGACGACGACGTTTATACACCATATCAATTCCTGGCTTGTAAAACCATCTACTTACAAGTATAAACTTATATCTTGGTGTGCGACAATGATGTACCGCTGCTTGTTGTTGATGAGTAATCTGTTTCTATTTTGGAGCGGTAGCTTGCGTGTTCACGACATTCAAAATCAGTGCTCTTTCAAACTCGTAGGATTTGCGCATGCAACAGTCGAGGATATTGAGACCACCGTACGACGCTCTCGAGAACTCGTAGGCCCTGTATTCGAAACCCTCGCCTGGAAGTCTTTTCAGGCCGTGTGCCAGGACAAGCTCTATACCATTGCAATGTACGCCGACACACACATCTATCATCTGATTACGCCCACTGCAGATGATGATGATAAGGACATTGATGGTTTCTGCAACGAAAAGCTTGTGCTCCACGATGGTGGGGAAATGGGAAGAACCATCATTGTGGAAGAAGCTGAATATCAGTCTGACAGAGACCAGGATGACGTCTTCAACTTTCAAGGATCCTTCTCACTGAAAGCGATCTTGCAAGCATTCCACGCGGGCAACACCATCATGCAAGATGGTCCCCAAGATACCGGTAGCAGTGAGAAAAACTACATGTATGACATTCTCTACAACAACTGTGCTACCTTCATTCTGAGTTTCATGGATGCGTTGGGTTTGGAGCCTGATCAACCCGTTGCTCGTTACATTGCTGGAAGGTTGGCGCAGAATGGAGGACACACCATTCAAATGTTGTACGACAGCCAGGAATTTCAGGCTCTGTTGCCTCCTGACATGACTACGACCTTGAATAATCAGGACATGCAAAACAAGGATGACGAGAGGGAGCTATTGCAGCTTCTGGTGGACTACTACATTCAGAATCGAGTCAAGGTGCAACCAAGCGTTCTGGAATCTGAAGAGGCAAAAAGTACCCCCGACACTAATATTGAAGCATCTGCAGGAGGACACATCACCTACCCCCGGAGTCTTCGCCGTTACTTACAGGCTGCCAGTGAGGCTCAAGACAGTGCAACCTGCTCCCTTTGCTATGGAGGAGCCAGCCCAAATAATCGAAATGGCACTGCACTGTCAGCATGGGTCGATGGCGTTGGGTACACTTCCTGCGAGGATGCCGAAACACTTGCCAAGGACTTTCTCGACGGATCCACCAGCTGTACCACAGCCAAATCTCAGGAGTAGCACACTGTGGTTGCCCGACCTACCACCCATCAACCCTGATTGTGCAACTTTTGGGAAACGATCAACCGAGCTACGACATTGATTTTCACAAGAAATGCCACAGTTCCTCGATCCCGAAAGCGATAGTGAGCAGTTCCTCTGTTTCGACGCGATCATTGCAGCACAGAACTACCCGTCCAGCAAAAACTGTGAGGACCTTCTCTCGGCTGGAAGTAAGTACTGGTGTGGATGCCCCGTGCCGCAAAACCACCTGCCACATGCAACCTGTGTTTGGATGGAGCCCCAATCCCTGATCCTTCCTTGGAGGTATTGCCAGGTGGTGGAACCTGTCAGGATGTAATTGACCTGATGGAAAATGGATACTCGGACAACTGCGGAGCCATGCAAGCCACAACGGGTGTTTACTGCGGATGTGAGGCCAATATAAAGCAGGCCATTGGTGATGTTGGGACCTACGATCTCAACTTTCGCGATACCCCGTGCCGCATCTGCCCCAACGGGGCGTTGCTGCCAGACACTAGCTCAGTCATCGTGTTGAACTATCGGAACAATGGCGTGCAACGAACACTGGATACTTCGTGTGGAAAGATCGAGTTCTTTGCGAATGCCTATGACCTGTGCGACGAACCCAACACATTTAGCCATGCTCCTTTCTGTGGCTGCTTTGTGGAGGATGAAGGTCCTGATTGCCATCTCTGTTGGGGAAATGCAACTGTCAATGAAACTGATGCTCTCTTCCCCGATCTGCCTGCTACATTTGCCGAAACTTGTGAGAGCGTACAAGCCAGTCTTCCCGTCTTCCCCAACTTGCACCATGGAACACCCCGTTGTACACAGTTGCAGGAACTCGGTTTCTTTGCTTGTGGGTGCCCCCAGGCGCCTCCGGAACGGGCGAATACCTTTCAATGCCCCTTGCCTTGCTCGTACGACCAGATTGACCCATTCAGGTTGGATTTTACGTTTCAGCTTGACTACAAAACTTGCGGAGAAATTGTGGCATCTGCCAACCACGCCAAGTCTCAAGAGGAGTGTGATGAGTTCTCCAAGAGAATCCAGTTCTGTTGCGAGGGGACACCCTACACGAATGGTTGCAGCTTCTGTGACGGAGGCTCGGACCCGCAAGTACAAGGTTACGACTCGGATGATTCACCAGTGACATGCCAAGACTATCAATCCTTTTTACCTCAGCTTGTGCTTGCAGACGACTCGAAGGAATGCACTCGCTGGCAAGACATTGGGTACTTTTCCTGTGGTTGCCCCAGCCAGCCGGCCCCTCTTCCCCATCAGACCGAGTGCCACGTCCTGCCAGAGTCTTGCTCCCCCTTTGATTTGGACTACTACTGCAAGGACGCATTGAGCATTATTGGGCGTGTGGAGAATGCCTCTGAGTGTCCGTATGTCCAGCAGTTTTTTGATCTTTTGTGTTGTGGAGATTTGGATGCCCGCGAAATTGTTGTTCCGAGCAATATTGACGGCAATGGCACCGTTGTGACTGTCACGGTAGAAATTGTCTTTGATGAATTTTCGTCTGATGTTGCATGGTCCATTCTGGACTCGGAGGGTGAGCGTGTCGCTGCTTCTCCCGTGTTCCTCACGCCTGATGACTACAAAGTCGATTTTGATCTAGCTGCAGGTGACTATGCCTTTGTCATTTTGGATGCAGTGGGTGGTGGGATTCTTGGAGGGTCGTTCCTGGTCCTGGTCGGAGAACAGGTATTGGTGGAAGACGCGCCAGAAGAGTACTACCAAGCCATCAATTTCACAGTGTCGGCCAAATCAGATGAAGCTGTTGGACAAGCAGATGATCCTGCTTCTACTACTAATGCAACATCAGGGCCCCAGGAGGACGAAGTGAAGAGCCCTGCAGTTACCCTTATCGGGAGCCAGTTGTTCATGGCAATGATGGTGACAGTTTTTGTGATCTGGATCAATATTGAAGGTGGATGTAGTTGGCCGCATGAAAGAAAGACTGCCAAAGTTGTGTGGAAGTCAAGGAGAAGATATATAATAGAGTTATCTCACAGTTATGTCCAAATGAGGCTTTCTAAGAGCATCATCAACGGCGGCTGGAACTATGTAGCCGCAAAAGATGGTACCACTCACAAAAATCCTGAATTTGATGGCCGTCTCTCCTTAACGGCATCGGGCCCAACTATCATTACCTGCTGAACTTCCTGTTGTAGCAAGGGGGAAACACTCTCAGTTGTGGACATGAAAATGCCTCAAAGTTGGCTGTGTTGGTGTTGCTCTGCCCATAGCAAAACACAATCGGGTATTGTAATTCGAGCATTGCCAAAACTATACGATAATGGTGGCGGCAAAGCAACGACACCAAGAGGCAATTGGTTCCGTTCTGAGGAATGCTGTCACCCCAGGGGCCTTGGAGCTAGGGCAATGCATTGCAACGTGAATTCCAACAAGACCGTGAGATGGGGGTACGGTAATGCAGAACGCAGAGGCGATTCATTCTGTCAGTTCCTGCATGATGTCACAGCCAACAAAAGTTGACTAGCAAACTATAAAGGAGCACGTACCTTGGTGGTGCAAAACGTGTAGTCTTTGCCTTTATCGCAGTACTCTTCGCCTGGCTCGCCTGGAGTGTAGAGGCGCTCGACCCAGTCCTCTTGTGTCAAGGAAAGATCATGCTCGACCTCAGGCCAGTCCTCCATACGAGACGCTGCTTCCTCTTTCATGGCTTGGTACGGTACTTTTTAGTTTTCTGACGACGTCCAAAGCGACAAAATCCACGCCCGCTCATCTCGCAGGTGCATTAAGTCCAAGCTCACTGGGATACAAAGACGAGAGTGGAGCCAGTCCCTTATCGGCCTAGCTACGGTACCGATATGAGCAAACACGACGAGAGATTTGGCTGACATTGGACAGTGTCAAACCCCCCAAAACACACACACACAAACAATCCAAAATCTAATCCTATCATCAATAACCAATCTCCATTTTCGCACAAATTGAGTCAAGACCAACAAACCGCTGTCCAACAAACCGCTATCGTCTCTCTACTCATCATCGTCCGAATCCGCTGCTTTCTTCTTCTTTTTCTTTTTCTTCTTTTTCTCCTCTGGAGGTGGCTCGTCCTCCTCATCGTCAGTCTCTGCTTTCTTCTTCTTTTTCTTTTTCTTCTTTTTGACTTCCTCCTCTTCTGGCTCTGGCTCCTCTTCCTCATCCGAGTCTGCCTTTTTCTTCTTTTTCTTTTTCTTCTTTTCTGGAGGTGGCTCCTCTGGCTCCTCCTCTTCATCATCAGTCTCTGCCTTTTTCTTTTTCTTCTTTTTCTTCTTCTTGACAACCTCTTCTTCCTCTTCTTCATCGGATGATTCCGCCTTTTTGGGTTTCTTCTTCTTTTTCTTCTTTTTGGGTGCATCCGAGTCATCGCTGTCGTCTTCATCATCCGAGTCTTTGGCCGCCGCTTCCAAGGCAGCCTTGGCTCTCAAGGCACGCTTTTCTTCATTGGCTTTCTCCTGCTCGGCTTCCAACTCTTGTTGCTTGGCCATGTGTTTCGCTCGAATACGGGCCATCATGTCACCCGATGCGGCAGTCTTTTCTTCCATGGTCATGTTTTCCTGACGTTTCTTCTCTTCTTCTTTTCGCTTCTCCTCTATCAACCACTGCGTATCTTCATCCATACCAAGAGTCTCACGGAGTGCCATGATGGTCTTCATCTTCTCCACAGTGGTATTCTCGTCACCTTCATCAAAAGCCTCAAAATCCGAAAGATGCTTCTTCTTGTTGCCTTGTGCTACTGCATAGGAAGAAAGGGCGCCGGGGGCCTCGTCCTCGCTTTCCTCCTCGTCTTCAGATTCGTCATCATCGTCAGAGTCCGAAAGAGCCATCTTGGTGTTGTTTGTTGAGTTGGTGAACTGGAGATTAGTAGTGGTAGTAGAGGGCAGCAGCACAAAATATGTTGCGATGTTGGATTGTGGGAAACAGACCGAATGTTGCCTTGCCGATGCCGACGTCGCGACGGCTTGAGCCAAAGATACGGCTGAAAAGTCACTCACGGACGCCGGTACCGTACTGTACTGGCACAGGCATTTGCTCGAAGGTAGGAAAGGGTTAGCGTGTTCGAGATCAAGGTAGCAAGGCCGGACATGCATCGGTCCTTCACATGGATGGAACGCTGCTGAACCCAAAGTATCAAGCTAGACTACAGAGTTCCTTTCTGAAGATGCAATGCAATGCATTGTTTTATTTAGTTACCCATACACAGCTCATGTATAGAGAGATCTAGAGAGATATATGTATAAGCTAGCGGCGCCTGCACTGACCAATCTATTTAGACTAGCTTTGAATCTTTCTTCAAATCAACTTTTGCTTTTTGAGGCAGATTGTTTTAATTAATCACTGGCTTTGGCTTCGGGCCTACCTTGCTTCTTATTCATATTCCGGTAGCTACCGGTAGACCAGCCAGATGCTAATCCAGCAGATTGAAGACACAGCGCTGGATTCTGGGGCAACTGATTGTCCTTATCCTGTGGCCATGGCTGGCTGGGGTTGCCTACTAACAACTATGCCAGAGGTGGCAACCGATATGGTGGGGGCTTGTCGGAATGCTGCTGGCTGGAAAGAAGGCTTGAACAACGGAGGCAACCAGCCAACCCTTTGCTGCATGCCATGGGGTCTTTTTGTTTGTTTGGATGGGTGGGTACCGTACAGTGGTGACGGTTGCAGTAAGGGCGGCTTTGGACTCGGATGGTCAAAGCTTTTGCTACAGTCGTGCAGGTACATACGTTCTGGAGGCGTGCCTTTGTGCACTGTAATTGTAATCTTCGTCTCTAGTAGCTAGCTAGCTAGCTTCGTACCGTAGTTTAGGCTGAAACCTGGGCAACGAGGGTTCCGTTCCAGCAGCCGTTGAGAAAGACCTTCCCTACCAGATTTTGTTGCTAGCTAGAAGTGCCAGCAAGTAAGATACGTGATGTAGCCAACCCCCAAAACTTCTTATGCAGGCCATGCATTGATGCTAGCTAGAGCTACTCTGTTCATTTGGTTCGACGTTATGCAGAACTTATATATACTTTATTTCACTATAGTTATTATTCAAGAGTTGCTAATTGCCGCGCCCGAGAGGAAGTACATGCTGTTGGTCAACAACAAAAAAGACCCAACGAGCTGCAGCATGGCTAGGAAGACGATCATGGGATGCAAGAATAGGGTAGACTCGCAGACAACCTGAAGGTTCCACTCAAACGCCATTACGGTAAATAGACGAGCCTGCGCCAACTGGCATCCATCGCAAGACAGTTGCTAGAGGGGCGGAGCTCGCTTTGAAGGTGTGCCGATTGCTCTGCTTATGCCATGAGGCCGTCAGAAGCCTGTCCGGACTTCTCTGTAGTTCATAGAAAGAAATGAGAGTCAAGTGTGAGACAACCAATATATTCAGTGAACACTTTAGCAATGCAATGTATACGTACTCTTCTTCCACCACATGGCGTATGCACTAAATGCACCGACGACAACCAGGATAAAGACAACCCATCCAAAGGCCTTGGCACCGCCTCCACTCTTGCTGGCAGGCATGAGAGATGCAATGTATTCACAGCTTCCTTCCTGCTTTCCGTAGTAGTGGAAGGATTCCATTTCGGTCTCGCACTTTCCGGCATTCTCGTACAATTCCTGGCACATCTCCTTGAGTTCGTAAGCGCCATCGTCACCATTGTACTCGGAGCAAGGTTGGCACTTGTTGGAGACAAGTCCGCCCTCACCGTAGGGAAGAGACCATCCGTTGGAGATATCTTCAAAGGTGACATCTTCTGGCACTTGAGAGCAAGCCTCGTCGTAAAAGATCTCCAGCTTGACATCGGATCCATCCTCGGTACAGGCAGGTCCAATAAAGTATGCGGCGTTGTTGTTGTTGCCACCATCGTCATTCTCCTGTTCGTATTCACGGCACTCGGCATACTCATCGACCTTGAAGTTGTCATCATAGTACATATTGTCCCGTTGGTCCTCAAAGTAGGCTTGGACAAACGTCTGAAGACCCACGACATAATCACCATGGCCGCTCTTGCAGCCGTAGGTGAGGTCATCATCACATCCCTCGGGACACAGACGGAAGATGGCAGCTCCGTACTCGTACTCTCCGTCCTCGGGGTTGCGGATGGCTTCCTCGGCCTTACACTGGATCATCTTGAGGTTGTAGTTCATCAAAAAGGCAAACTCATCCTCTTCTTGGTTCTGGTTGTTATCTTCGAGCTTACGAGCCTTCTTCAACAGACGCTTTTGGGCTGGGCCAAGGGCGGCAGAGGCAGAGGCGACAAGGCCAAAGAAAAGGGTGGTTGCGAACTTCATGGTGTTGTTGATGGGCTGGAACTTGTGAGGTTAGCGTTGATCAATGGCTCTTGCTTGGCGATGTGTGGAGACCGAAAAAGTGTCTGCTATCAAGTGATTCTTCGTCGATGTCTTTGCTGTGGACTGACTTTGGTGCGCACCGCTCTCTGTACACTTTGAGCGATAGCACTCCTCCCAACTAGACCGTTGAGGTAGTGTTGGCGGTGCACGAGCGAAGATTTAGAGGGAAAATCTCTAATATTTTTTGAATGGTGCTCCGACGGTTTCGCTCATACCGAAACACGAGGCGGCAAGGTACTGGCGACGTTACCCCAGGATGGATACTTAGGCTTACTCCTAGGCGTTCCAGACTTCGCACACATAAAAAATCCAAGAGTGACTCCGTTGAAGAGAGCATGTCAGCCCACTGCGCACAGCAAGATAAATTTCCTCGCTTCTGAAGCATTTTGAATGTTCCGAATTATTGGCGTCAATTGGAGGGAGTTGGTCACGAAATGTCAGTCCACAATGAATAAGACACGCACAGTTGCTCTTGGAAATTCTGCCGGACAAAGGAAGGACGAAACGGAGGCACCGAAAATCCTTCGGACACACGCAAGAGCTCGCAACTCGACACCCCAACAAATCTACTTTGTTGCCTGCTGTTGTTGTTTGTTCAGATACAGTAGATCACCATGGGCGGCCATCACCACAGCCCCGAGGCAATGCCTCGCAAGGACCAAGATCTCGATGCCATCAAGAAGGCCAAGATTCCGCTTGGATACCGAGACACCTGTTCGCATCTCTTGATCCAGCTCAACGAATGTCGCCGTCAAACATACTTCAATCCCCATCAGTGTTCACACCAACGTCACACATACGAAGAGTGCCAGTACATTTCCTGGTTGCAGCGAGTAGAAGACAAGAAGGAACATGTTGCCAAGATGAAGGCCGCTGCGGCTCTGGAAGGTTAAAAGCGTCATCGAGGTTTGTTGTTGTTGTCGGCAGCACAATAGGGTTAGGGTTACCCATGAGCCCGAACCCCAATGGCACTGCAGAAACAATCAAGTAGTCTTCATGTAGGCTGCTACTTTGTAGCGCAGACTCGACTCTCTAGTAGTAGCTGCATAGTAGCTAAAACCTATTAGGTGTATGTATCTATGCGCGCTTGAGACGAGCTTGTTTGTCTGGATCGTTCTAGCAGTACCGGTGGGTAGAAAGTAGCAAACGCAGTAGCCATAGACTCACACAATTACATGTACCGGTACGGTACCTAGGATGCGGCTGCAGGGGAGAGTATCAGTTTGCATGAATACCATTTTGTTTAACAAGGGGGCTTGGCTCGTTGTGCTGTGTGCATATTCTGTACAGGCAGGGTTTATTGCTTGTTTAACAGAACCACCAAAAGGATTGGCCATGACCAGCCAAACAGCCAATTTGATACAAGCTGAATGGGCTTATTTGAACTCAACTCGCCCGGTACGCACCTTCAGAGGACGACATTCCAGGGCCTGCCTCTCGATTCAATTCTCTCTGGGTCTCTTCTTCTAGAGCCACCTCGAAAGAAGAAAGGCCTGGAGCTGCGCCCACGCTTTGAAACCTACACAGCAGCCATTGCTTGAGCTACTGGCAAGCACAGGCTAGCTAGCGTGGCTGGGTGAATGATTCCATCGAATCGATTATATAGAAAAACCAGCCAATGCAGCTGTGTATCAGCATCAAACTCTTTCGCATAATAGTACATTGCTCACCACACAACTCTATGCTTCGCTTCTTCAGCAAGACAGAGTCGTGTACCGGTACTGTGAACATTTAAAGTTAGAGAGAATTCCCAGCAGTTTGTAATGCTTCTCCCGTAGAACCATTTGTAGACCAGCACTCGCCCGCTCCATTTGTCATGATCTGAATGCACCGTGTACTCATCCGTGGGAAATGTGGAAATGATGAATGCCTCAGCACCTTCGACATGCAGACTCATATAATCAATGACATTGAAACGATGCAGTACCTCCCGCATCGGCACCGTGTATTTAGGTGTGGGTGGGGTCTGAAAGTTGGCTTCTTTGGCTGTGTATAGTCAAACTTCTAACCCAAGATGCGATTGGAACGAAACTTGACCCGCAACCACTTGACATTTTCGGTACATCGTACAGTACGACACAGCAATCATGCCAGTACATGGGTTGGTTTCCACGCAAATGCCGTTACACACTACAACCTATGCATCGTTGTTGACCAGAGTGCAGCCATAGTAGGTCATCTCACCGTTTGAATCTAGGATCTAGGGCGGTCAATCAGATCCTGGTGGTTGTGGTTGCCAATGAACACATTGCAGTTCCACTGGTGTCTGTCGCCGGCTATGCTCGTTGCTGCTGGAATGAACTTCAATCCAAAATACAAGTCGGCACAGCAACCGGCTACTAGTACTGTCAGCGCTCCTTCACCATGGCTCAGCGATCTGAGACATCTCCTCAAGTACCGAAAGTGCTCAGCTTTGGGCAGGTAGATGCGGTAAGCAAAACCTTTATTTAATTAAATTATGTACTCAAACTACCTATGCAAAGCTGACTTTCCGCATTCCAAGACCTGTACACCGAGTGACTAAAAAGAATGCACGCGCCAAACAGTGCATGGATGGAAAACGGAACATGGCCACCGTGTTTTACACGAAGTAGACTAAGTTGTCTTGGTAGCTCTTGACCTGTTTTAGGAATTAGTCTATGAATTATCTGGTAGCCAAACCTCACCACACCCACTGGTATTCATCACAACGACACCACCATTACAGCCGATGACTTCTCACAATTATAAACTTCGCTCCTTCAAAATCCACAAAGCACACTTTTCTCTTTCTGCTACACTACTCACCATTTCTAACAACGATGAATGCTATGATGAATGTGATTATGGATGGCCCCATTTTTACATGGCTCTTGAAAACTCGAATGACTTTCTACAATGACGATGCTTTGCAGCTTCCCTGGTGGTTTGGGGCATGTTGCTGGAACTTTGCCATTGCAGGAGCTTTCATGCTCTGGATTGAACCAGCATGGGTCCAGCACCCACAAAAGATAACCATTCTGCCGTCCCTGCTATCATTCACAGTGCAGTTCCCTTACCAAACCATTGCTTACTTGCTCATTTTTGTGCAAGCTCCACTGAGTTTCCTAGCGGACTATGTCAACATGAAGCGGGACAGTTATTGGCATATCATTGACAGACTCCTCGCCGTGCCCATAATGGCGACGGAAATCATCAAGGTTACATGCATGGCCTTGGAGTCCATCCGACACTTTCAGCTGCTTCCGAATTCAAAGGCCATGCCGATTCCATTGGTGGTTCTCTACTTTATGGCGCTGATCTTTGCCATTTATTGCTTTCTTCAATCCAACAAGGCTCAAGCCAACCGCGACCATCAAGGATTCATCCTGTGGCACAACACCTGGCATTTGTACCCATTGGTGGCAGTGGCCATTTTTGTGTTCGACTTTTATGTCTGTCATGGATGGCAACGATGCACCAGACAATATATGTATTCCATTGTCATCCAAAAGGCGACGAAACTGTAGAGTAAGCGGCCACCCAACGAGCAAACACTTGTGCACAATGCATGGGCTCGAATAGAAACTACATAAGAAATACCTAGCTAGACTCTTTAGAAAACTCAAACTCAAAAGTCTATTATCGGATTCAGACGAGAAGTCAAGTCCTTGAGGACGAACCATGAGCGAGCCAAGGCCCAGGTGTGTCGCACTGTACGTGAAATACCTAGACTCTAGATTCGCTACGGTATCAACGTACATCAATGGATCAGCTGGAAAGAGTTGTCTCAACTACTGAAAACTCTCAGGATGGAGCCCCACTGTTGGTAGTCAGCCGCACAATGTCGCGCCTCCCAGTTTCTGCAGCTAGCCCGTGTCCGGCATAAAAGCAACCATCCACATCCGATCAAATTCTGTCAATAGAGCGAGGCATAGCCGATAAAGCCTTGTAAAAGAGAAGGCATCGATACCACCAATGCAAGGAGGTCGGAAACCAAGGTTGAGCCCTTCCTTTGCCTGGTCCGCACAACTGGGTTGCAAGGGTCATTCTACCGTATGGCACACCCAGGAGTGACACATCTTGTGGTCTCCCCTTCGCCCGCATGACACCAAAGGGTTGGTGTGAATGCTGACGGATTCATGACGGTATCCACTGTTTCTATTCCCTTTGGAAGTTGGACACACTCCTCGGACCAGGTGTGGGTGCTGTGGTACCGGTACTGTAGCGGTAGCCCGGAGTTGCTCCCAACGAGAGCTTGCTGTTGATGCCCAAGAGCAAACTCAATGATCTGGGCGATGGCGACGATTTGATTCATTCGCATCTGGATGAGTACTATAAATTGCTACCGGTAGCTGGTCGCCAACATCTGAAGTTGCAGGCTACGAAAGGGAATAAGTTGTAGAATGACACGAGCTTGCAAAACCTCACAGTGGAGATCAGAAAGCGGGTCGTACTAGCAAAGAAGACCGTTGCGTCATTGGATCAAAGAAGTGCTGCAAAATGATCCTTCTCAAACTTCAAACTCGGAAATCACTAAAAGCATCCTTGGGATCACGATTTAGCTTTTGGAACTGGAATGCGAAGTACCACCCACACTGAACGGCACCCAGAGAGGAACCTATCGTAGCTAGCAGGTACTTGCGGGCTTTCTTCGTGGCCCTCCTGGTCTACCTTATTGAGTTGCAAGGAGCCTTGGGCCGAGCGACGCTTTGAACAGGTTGCCATTGTTCCCGGTTTATGGGTTCGATGGCCGGAGGAGCCACTCCGTACATGTACCGGCTTACTCTGCTGGCTTACCGGTTCGTCTCGTTGTCTCCCCCCACTAACAACACGAACAACACGAGAGCCAACCGTTCCAGCTTCAGTACAACTTTTACCGAGGAGTTGTGTGAAGACCATGGCGACTTCTACATCTACATTGCCCACCCCTCCAACATTGAGATTTGAGAATGGGAGTAAGCTAGTTCCTGGCGATCGGATTGGGACCATTCAGCAAGTGCTTCCTGGAATTGGGACTTACGCCAAACGAGGCAACATCTACTCCAGTGTATTGGGTCGTATGGACATGTCCCCTTGCAACGATCTGGAAGAACCACAATTCACAGTGTCGGTCCAACCACAGCGTCCTCTGGCGTCTCTACAAGTCCTGTCGGTGGGACAAATTGTCCTAGCGCGTGTCTTGCGTGTGGCAGCACCCCAAGCCACAGTGGCAATTGTTGCCACGGCTCAAGGTGGCCGTCTGAATAGCGCATCCGAAGGCTCAATTCCACGAGAAGAATGCGTCAAATCGGGTGCGGTCACGAGAGAAGTTCATGAATGCTTTCAACCCGGTGATATCGTCTTGGCCAAGATTTTGTCTACGGGCGATACCCGGAGATATACCCTTACCACGGCCGAGGCAGAATTGGGTGTCATTCATGCCGTCTGTCACTCCAGTGGAAAACCCATGATTCCCTGCAGTTGGAAAGAAATGGAATGTCCTGACACCAACGTCAAGGAATTGCGCAAATGTGCCAAACCAAGAAAAGTCATGGCGGTGGCTGCTGCTTTCTCTGATTCTTGACTCAGCTGCAGGGGGCAAAACGGACGTCAAAATTGAGCAGCGAACATGGCGCACAACATGGTCATTGAGCAGATGGAAATTTGCACCAATATTTTGGGGAAGTGATTGGGTCTCCAGTGCTAATTTCTATTGAATTGATTGGATCCTTGCCTTTCGACTCCATGTCTGCTTTCCAGCAATCGTTCCCTGGCTCAAGAGGCTACAATAAGCATCCTTCAGTTTGCAGCCAGAATGCGGCAAAAGTCTGCCCCTCTTGATCGATGGTGTTGATATGATAGTGTGATTGATCCTTGGAGTGCCAACAAAGCTTGGGCGGTGCTGTGCAAGAAATAAAGATCCAGCTATCTATCTAGTAGTACCTTAGTGTTTGATACGGTTTTGTTTTCACGTTGCACGTCAAATCATATCAATGGTGGACAAACCCAGGTCCACCGCCATTTCAAAATAACCAAAGAAGGCAGCCGCAAACAGCCTATCCTTTTGCAAATGGGAGAGGTGATGAAGATCGTTGGAGGTTTCCAGCATCTTCAATGCCGCTTCTTCGTCGTGAGCTGTGCCAGTCAAGATTGTGGTGTTGGATGAACTGCCACGGAGGTTTAAAACTAATTGCCAAACACTCTTCAAACAGTCCGCGTGCTTGAACATTTTGTAGTCCATCTCGCTCTTGGCGTAGGATTCCACGTCCTTTTCAATCAACGCAAGGTTGGTTCCGGAATACAGTGCCGACTCGTTGATAAAGTGGGCGTTCCAGAAGGCACTGTCCAAGTCACAGCACTCCATGCCTCTTTTGTACCCAATTGCCAATGCCTTTCCGGACTGCTGAATTGGTGCGGACCAGTGAGTGGTAAAAATATTGAGCACCAAGGAAATTCTCGATTCAATCTCTCGGTTATGAAACTTGTCCATGAGAGAGCAGGTCACCTCGGCGTGTTCCTTGGCCCACTGGAAATCCATAAACACATTTTGAATTATCGCTGTCATCCATGCAAACGGAACAGCAGAATATCGTGTCAGCCCACGATCGATGACATGGCGGCAAGCCATGATGATACAAAGCGGCCATGCCTCGGGCCATGTCTGAGGTTAGTGTGGGGGGAAAGACACCGTTAGTACAAAAGCAGATCATTACCCGCCACAAAGCTAGACCAGGAGAACGTACAATCAAGGAAAACATGATCAGACTGTCATGTAATTTAGAGATGGCTTCATCCACCGGATCCGTGCTCACTGGCAATCTCCGCAAGGAATCGGGCATCCACTTTTTCTTGTGGAGCCTAATGTTGGCCACGGCCGCCGACGTCCGTGGGCCAAGCAGAGTCTTGGGAAAGTGAAACTTCAAACTTCCCAGGACACTCAAGCTTTCATTCAAAGCTTCCTGAACTTCAGCGTTTGCCATATGTGCATCCATGATGATTCGGTAAGCATGAATCTTATCCTGAATGGGACAGTCCAACAATGCCAGCACAACATTGCTGTAGGACTTCATTTGATCGTAGTTGCCTAGGCACATTTCGGACTCTGCTGCCATAGTGTACAGATAGAGACTCTCTTCGTACATGGTCTCCCAATGTTGTTCAGGAAGCAGTGAGATGGCAGCCTTTTAATATACTGCGGAACGGCGAAAGGCTGCAGCGACGTAAGCCTCTTCGGCAGCAACCCAGTTCAACTCAAACAGCGCCATTTGCTTCTCAGACGGCAGTCGCTCTATTTGGGGATTGATGAGATTGACCAAGAGAAAGGTCAACTGTTCCACTCCTTGGGCCTCAAGACGTTCCTGGTTCTCCAGGAGAATGTATCCCATGGTGTATTTCAGGTAATCAAGTTTTGCCTTTGGAATGAGTGAAATGCTTCCTTCGAGAACCTTGTCGTGCAAAAACGAAAACATCGTTGCCGAGGAAGCTTCAATGAATCCCTCACTTTCAAGCTGGCGGAGTTGGTTGTCAATGTCACCCCCAAAGTCGCTTTGTTCCAAGGCAAAGACACTTCCGAGTACATCCAAAAAAATTGGGTAGTCATCAGCAGCCGTGATGACAGCCTGCAACACTTGGGCATCAAATGTGGTACCAATGCAGGCCGCCAAGGGAAGGAGCTTCCGAGGGGTGGGTGACTGCTCCAACTTTTCCCTCATGAGATCCACCACATTGTCGGTGGCGGTGGATCCAAACCGAATATCTTGCAGATTCCAGTTCCATTGACAACACCCCATGTTGTAATTGAGCAGTCCCTTTTGTGTCAAGGACAGGAGGCACTGCATCACAAAGAACACATTTCCACGAGTTCTTTGATGAATAGTTGCGGTGAGTTCTTTGACCTGTTCCGGTGGGATATCCAAAAGGTCGGCAATCATGGCATTGTGCAATACACGGCTCTTAGCCTTATTCGCGACTCGATCCTAGATAGGGTTTGAGTTCGACTCATGACTGACTGTGGGGGAAAAAGGGGGTCCCCTTTTTCCCCCCCCCTCGGTTGGGAAATAGTCCCCCCAATTTTTTGAAGACAGGGTTTTCTGACCGCGCCTAGTCATTACTAGGTTTATGATGAAAACATCGCTCTAGATATTTAGCCAGCGTGGAGAGCTTCCAGCTACTAGATCCAGGCTAAGCAAACCTTCCCACGCGTTCCGTTTTAGGACGTGGAGAACGTAGGATACTCACACAACCTACTCTATCACACTTATAGTCTCCCGCGGGAAGCCAGATCTACGATCCTTTATGAGATCTCTCTCGTGAATTATTTTCATAGCTTTAAAATCCTCTCATTTTTCACTCTCAAAATCAAAACACCTGAAAGATTTTTACACTAGCTTTAGCGTAGTGACTTTTGTTAACAAACACAATAGCTTTCAGCTACCCTCAACATATTCTTTCACCATGAAGATGGCTCAGGAAAGCATCGTTCCGCAACTTTGAGAAAACAGTTGCGTGACAAACCCATTCTTCCTCTCGTCGACAATGACGAAGAACACGAGATGACGATACTCGTACACCACTGCAAACTTCGCAACCATGTTGCCAAGCGCAAATCAGAAGACTCTGACAATGAAGACAACTCCTCTATCAATTCAATCACTTGGATGGAGAAAATCTATCTGAGGATTAGGCCAGGATGATGACAACGGAACCCTGTTCCGATTTTCTCATACCAAAGTGATAAGAATTCACTAATATAAACAAAATTGTTTGCAACTGAGAACTTACGCAAATTAGATGATTGCTAGAAGCTGCTCAACTAGACTCTCTGATGATCTATTTAGCATCGTTAACCTCGTCCGTGGCCAACCACTCGTAAACGTCGCAAGACAAGAGACCTCAAACCCATCGTTTATGTTAGATTTAACAGACAGAAAAAGGGAAACCAAAACACGTTACACTCCGTTGCTTGCTGGATACAGGAGCATCCGGAACCTTGATTTCTCAACTCATGCTAAGAAATTACCCATGAAGGATCTTGGGGGCGTCCAAACATGTGGACTACCCCTGCAGGAGAATTAAACACCAGCACGAAGTGCAAAGGTGCATTCATGATTCCTGAATTCCACGAAGATAGAATATCGAGTGGAATTATCAGTGTTCAACGTCACCAAGAGCTTGGGGCGTAGACATGATCAAAGGTCGAGATATTTCTCTGACTTAGGTTTCAAGTTCGATTTCACTACCATGTCAGTGGAATGGGACGGCGCATCTATTCCTATGAAAGATAGCGACCACAATGAAGAAGAAAACTTTTCATTCCTGATCCTGCCGCTATCGATGACAATGCAGATTGCTCAAGAAGATTCTTGATGCGAAATACGAACAAGCTGACTTAAGCAGGTTTGCAAAAGTCAAGATCAGTTAAACACGAAAGAGAAGGAACAGCTTCACTCTTTACTGACGAAGTACTCTGACCTATCGATGGTACTTTGGGAAATGGCAGATGGACGACTACGAAGTAGAACTCTCCCTGATGCTAAACCCTATCATGCAAGGGCTTACCTATTCCACGGTTTCATACCAACACTCTTAAGATGGAGGTTGAACGTCTCTGCGAGGCAGGATTACTCAAGAAGGTAAACCGTTCGAGTGGGCGGCACCAACTTTCATCATTCCCAAGAAAGACGGATCTGTACGTTCATCTCTGATTTCCGGGAACTGAACAAAAGGATTAAGCGAAGCCTTATCCTATCCCAAATACAGGACATGCTCTTGAATCTAGATGGATTCAGTACGCTACTAGTCTAGACCTGAACATGGGATACTATCACATCGAGCTTTCACCTCACTCGAAGCACAACTCTGTACCATCGTACTCCCGTGGAAAGATCGAGTACCAGAGGTTGCCAATGGGCTATGTAATAGTCCGACATCTTCCAAGAGAAGATGGGAACACTAATGCACGACCTAGAATACGTCCGTGCATACATTGATGATCTACTCATCCTAACTAACGGCGATCTGGCAGTTCACGTTGAAAAGTTGGATGAGTTCTCCGAAGGCTTCGAGAAGCCGGACTCAAGTTCAATGCTACCAAGTCCTTTTCGCAAGAGGAGAACTGGAGTACCTAGGTTACTGGATTACTCGAGAAGGGATCCAACCTATAACCAAGAAAATAGACGCAATCAGAATATCGCTCCTCCTACAACAGGAAGGAAACTGGTAGAATCATTGGACTAGTGAACTACTATATCGAGACATGTGGTTAGACGATCACATGTACTGGCCCACTCGCTTCGTTGACTTCCAAAACAACGAAGTGGAAATGGGAAGCCGAACACAACAAGGCCTTTAGCCAGATGAAGAAGCATCAGCAAGAACCCTTGCTCGCCTACCCTGCTTTCAACGATACATTCGTTATCCACACGGATGCGAGTGATACTCACTAGGTGCGGTAATTTCCAGAAGGGAAAACCTATCGCGTTTCTACAGCAGAAGCTCAACCCTGCTCAACCACGTTACACAGTTACCGAGAAGGAACTTCTCAGTATCGTAGAAACTCTAAAGAGTTCCGTAACTTTCTTCTGGGACAGAAGATCTTTGTCATACGACCACAAAGAATCTTACATGTAAGAACTTCAATACCGATCGCGTAATGCGAATGGCGCCTTATTCTGGAAGAATACGGCCCTGAACTAGGTACATCAGGGCGAACAGAACATCGTCCCCGATGCGTTGTCAGACTTAACATCTCTAACACGACGGTTCTTCAGAACAATGACGCCAGCGGATCGCTGAGCTCATGGCTGCAGACGAAGAGGACTTCCCTAGAGGAGTTCCCTCTCTCGTTCCCCGAGATCGAACATCGTCAGAAAGACGACAACGATATCAAAGAAGCTCCTCAGGGACAAGCCAAACGACTACAAGAAGCAATATTTTCCCCAGAGGGGATAAGTCCTACGACTTAGTAGTCAAGGACGAGAAAATCGTCGTACCTAAAACTATGCAGAAGAAGCTAGTTGAATGGTACCATGGTGTGCTGATGCATCCTGGCGAGACTCGAACGGAACTAACCATCAGCCAACACTACACCTGGGAAGGGTCGCGCAGGCTGTGCAGGCCGTATGTCAGCGTTGCCAAAGCTGCCAGATGAACAAACCCAAGACGCGTAAGCTGGATTGATGTCCTCCAAAGACTTGCGAGGAGATCCCTTGGAAAGACTATGTATTGACCTGATAGGCCTTACAACGTCGGGGATCCAAGAAAAGGAATCCCTGCACATTTCATTGCTTGACAATGATTGATCCCTAACCGGATGGTTCGAGATATGCAGAGATCTGCTCCAAGCAGCAAACGAAGTAGCCATCGTCCTGAACAAACGTGGCTTACTCGGATTCCATGGCCTGCTGAGGTTATCAAGAGGACGTGAGTTCCGCGCAGAGGTCAAAAAGACACTCGGGATGAATTGGACTTCGTCGCAAGTTCATCACCACGCGTAACCCTCAAGCCAACTCTATGGTCGAGCGTGCCTATCAAACCATACGTAACTAACTTGATCGCTGTTCAAAAAATAAAGTGCCAAGACGACTCGTGAATGGATCCTGGGATGGAGTCCTCACGGCTGGTTCGCTTTGCAATGAAATGCCACGATTCATACCACCTTGCATGCAAGCCCGCACAGCTCGTGTTCATTCGTGACGCGATTCACAACGTCCGGTTCGAGGCCAACTGGAAGTACATTAAGGAACGTCGCCAACCGACTATCCAAAACAACGATAGGGAAAACGCAAACGCGTGTCCTCACAAAACAATGTCAACGATAACTGTGATGATTAACACAGTATCAGAACCGAAAGTACGGTCAGCCAAAGTACAAAGGTCCTTACACTATAACCGAGTCAATGACAATGGCATGTACGTCCAACATGCTACGGCCAACGGGGCACAGTCTACCAGACTTGAGACATAAGGTATAATATACCCCAATACAAGGCCTGATCCCCTTGTAGGATTGCAATCGTGCGACGACAATGTCTCAATCCAATCTCATCGAAGAGTGCCCGCACTTTAAAATCATATGTCTCCTTGGTCGACTGCTGTCGCGCCTTCTGTGGACCCTTGTCAGGGGGCGAATGCAATACACGGCTCTAGCCTTATTCGCGACTCGATCCTAGATAGGTTTGAGTTCGACTCATGACTGAGTCTTCGGTGAATAGTCATTTGAGACAGGGTTCTCAATGACCGCTCAGGTCATACTAGGTTGATGATGAAACATCGCTCTAGATATTTAGCAGCGTGGAGTTACTTCCACGCTACTAGATCAGGCTAGACAAACTTCCACGCGTTCCGTTTTAGGATCGTGGAGAGACGTAAGATACTACCCCCTACTCTATCAACTTATAGCCCCGCGGGAAGCACATCTAACGATCCTTTGATATGATCTCTCTCGTTGATTAGTTTTCATAGCTTCTAATCCTCTCATAACTTTCATTCTCTCAAACTCAAAATCACTCGAAAGATCTTTTACACTAGCTTTTAGCGTAGTGCAATTGACAATCTCCCTGGTTGCAGTTCTCCAATGGCAATGTCATGAATTGCAATCTTCTTTTCATCTTGGACTGACTGGATTTCCTGGAGTGTTTTTACGACGAAATGATTGTCATCAACAATGTTGCTTCGGTAGGTCCAAATCATCAAGAGGGATGGAATGGTATCATCTGTAATCCATCCCTTGAGAATGGAGAGGCTGGCTGTGTCACTAAATTGTGCATCATCACAGAGGAGTACCAATGGCACAAACCCCGATATCAATCGAATCAACTTCCGCATGGCAAACTGGAGACGATCCCCTGCCGATTTGGCATTGTAATTGTTGATAGTGGATGCTTCCACTGTTGACTGGCGCCGGATGGCTGCCTCGATTGTCTTTTGTCGCCTGAATCCTGCAGTGTCGGTTGTCTTTTGGCGACGAAATGGTGCCTCTTCGGTCGTTGTTGATGTGTTGACTGTGGCAGTTTCATCCACTGCGGGCTGACGCTGGATTCCTGTCTCGGCCGTCTTTTGTCCTGGGTTGTTGTCTTCGTCGGTCCTGCCTTCTCGTCCGTTGTCGACTGTCGTCGTTGTCGTTGTCGTCGTCGTCACTGTCGTGACCGTTGACTCGGTGGAGATTGTATGAGGACTGGCAATGCTTGACCGAAATGGCTTTTTGAGAGATGCAGTCTCAGAACCTTTTAAAAACAGTTTTTGCAGCGGACCAGGGCTCTTGGTGCTTTCTGCTGCTGCTGCTGCTTCTGGCTAAGGAGTACCTTCAATTCTGGCACAACCTGACAGAGGAGATCCATTTCCCAATCCAACTGCTCTGCCACGGCTTCTTGAGATCATCCAGAGTTGGCATTTTGCTTGGATCACATAACTTTCGTCGTGGCAATTGGGTGATTTCCCGGCATAACTGTCGCATGGCCGCCTTGATTCCAGAATAGGGTTCTCCAATCTGTGCCAAGTCAAACTTGCCCTGTACAAAAAAGGCCCCTTGATGCTTGGCAGGATCCTTGAGCGACAGAGCCAAGGCAGTCTTGCCTTCTCCACTAAGTCCACGAATCAGACAGAGCGAGCGGTGGTGACTATTGGTCTTGCAAATCTGATTCAACTTGGTTTCCAATAGTCGAATCTCTCGTTGACGACCATACAATGTGGTGAGGCGTCGTTTGTTTTGCAGTAGCTTTTCCGTGCAAAACTGCTCCAACTTGGTATTGACTCTGTGAGACATGGAGGTGGTGGAAGTCACAATGGTCACCGTGTCTTTGAAAATGAGAGTATTCTGCTTGGCTGTTGTGGCATGATGATGGGTGCCATGAGCATCCTGATCTTCCCATGGACTGGACACCGGAGAATGATTGCTGTGGCGACGCAAGGAGAGTACTTCCGAGTCGATGATGGAATTGCAATACACGGCTCTTAGCCTTATTCGCGACTCGATCTAGATAGGGTTTGAGTTCGACTCATGACCGAAGTCTCTTCCGTGAATATCATTGAGAAGGTTTCTCAATTGACCGCTAGTCTATACTAAGTTGATGAATAAACATCAACCCTAGGATATTTAGCCAGCTTGAGGATTCCACGTTACTAGATCCAGGCTAACAAACCTTCCACGCGATTCCGTTTTAGGATCCGTGAGGAGAGACGTAGGATTACTACCAACAACCTACTTCATCCACACATTATATAAGTTCTCCCGCGGAAGCCAGATCTAACGATCCTTATGATGATGATTCTCTCTCGTCGATTACTTTTCAATAGCTTTCTAATCTCCTTAACTTTCATTCTCTTCAACTCAAAACACTCGAAAAGATCTATTACATTTGACTTTTAGCGTAGTGCTATTTGTTAACAAACACAATAGACTATTACAGCCTATACCCTAACCTATTCCTACACCATGAAGATGGCTCAAGGAAAAGATGCGTTCCGCAACTTGGAAAAACAGTGCGTGACAAACCCATTTCCTCCTTCGTCGACAATGACGAAGAACACCGAGACCGACGATACTCGTGCCACTAACTTGCAAACTTCGCAACCATGTTGCCAAGCGCAAAATCGAAATGTGCTAACGTGGGAAATACTAGCTTGAATAAGGGATTTGTAAGGTAGCTACACCACGACGAGATAAACTGCAACTATTCAAGACGATGCAAATAAATGCAAATTCGCTTCTTAGTAATTCATAATCTGGTTTGTGAGCTTTGATTGATGCGCATCATTAAAGCTTTGTTAAGTAGCGTGTTGTGATCAATACATCGTGGATAATGATACGGAAGTCACTAAAACGAACGGTATCTGCGCGGAAACGGTATCGTTGGCAGTATGTTTACTCCTGTCGAATACTCCAATTTACCGTGTCCTTTGTGTTTCGTTTGAGAACGTGTTCTTGCCAGCGTTCTCTGTTCATCGTGTTGACTCCATAAAACATGAATCAATCTAACTCAACGGATACTCGTGAGTCGTGGTGAGGAACTGTAACGCTTTCACTCCCCTCAGTGGCGATTGTCGACTCTGAGTGTTTTTTGACCCGCATCCTTGTATCTCCTGCAAAACAGCAGTTGCATTCAGCATAGGCCATACTCGATGTATAGTCCCAGTGCTTATTCTGAGGATATCTGCGGGTTAGTAGATCAGGGATATGATGGAACCTCAAGATACTTGCAGCAACAGGCTTCCCTAGTACGGTGGTAGAAAGGCATTGTGTCTTTTGGGATCTTTGAGTTGTGGCATTCGAGGCGGGTTTACTACCGTCTCGTTGTCTCGAACATCATGGTCGGTGTTCGACCAGTACTCCTAGGTACCTGAATTGCTCGTAGGTCAATGATCATGTCAGTGCGGTACGGCTGCAACATACTCAGATCCGAACGTTGCCGTCTCGATTGTTGTACTGTAGCTTGCTAACAAGTCAATGGAGTCTTGTTAGCTAGGTGTAGGACTCCGTTACTGACCGTCCACTGATGAATCGTGATAGAGGTTAGCATTCCACATATGTAGTGAGAATGACCCGTTTGCCTCGATCAAA